GGTTTAGGGTGTATTTAGGGTTTAGGGTATATGTATACGCATGTGCGTATGTGACTTTGGTGTATATGTTTGCCCATACTTGTTTACTTGTTACCTGACACATGCCTGTTTCAACTCCGTGTTAGAAAGAAGGCCTCACATATATCTACTATGTGGCTCTGCACTTACATGCTGCTTGATCATGTGTCTACTTCATGTATCTCAGAGCTTCAGAGATCTCTTGAACACATTGACACTGTCTGGGTGAAGTGTAGGCATTTAGGTTTGAGGGTTTGGAGTGCCTGGATAGTTGCAATCACGACTCCTGTATACTTAGAGTCTGCTGGAACCAGAAACCCTAATAAAGCTTGTAAGGCTCCTAGAGTACGCAGCTTGTAATGCCTAAGGGCATATGATGGCTACTTGGGAGTCGGCTTTAGCTTTATGATTCAGGGATGAGGGGTCTGTTAAACCTGTTATAGGGGAAAAGACTTGGGGGGGGGGGGGGGGGGGCTACAGTCCTGTGCAGAGCGAGCTTACTGTAATATCGGGGCCTCAATAATTAGAATAGGGTTTTGGGGCCCATCATACCACAATTATAATAAGGAACCCCCAAAATAATGTAGGTAATTATTGACTCTCTAGTAAACATTTGAGAACCGCGCCCCGCGCTGGTGTCAATGTCAGCAGCCTCCTCGCAACGTCTGCGGGAGAGAGAAAACACAAGTTGCCAATCCTTAGGGCTCTAGTTACCGATGATACTGGAAGCCGGAAAATGTGAACATCGAAACCCTCATGCCCCCTGAAATGGATTCTAGTGAATCCTACCAATGATCATCCATAATCCATGTTCCCCTAAACCCTACCCCTAAGGGTCCAAGTACCTAATAATCATATGTTCTTCGGAATACTAACCTACAACTACTATCCGTAACCTAAGTACATGATTATTAGGTCCTTTGGACCCTTGGGGTAACAATAATGGGCCAGTTGGTTACATGATGACTCTACATATGCCCAAGTTTCCGTCGCAGACACACCCCTTAACCCCTAGACCCCAAAACCTCTAAATCCTA